GAGTGCTTGCCTAGCACATGCAAGGCCCTGGGTTCAATCCTCAGCACCACAAAAAAATAAATAATAAAAATAAAGGTATTGTGTCCAACTAAAACTAAAAAATAAATATTAAAAAAAAGAATATACCATAAAACAAAGCTCTTATGTTTTCAGAATACACCTAGTGTTCTTAGAAAAATATTAAAACTTGGGCTGGGGATGTAGCTCAAGTGGTAGTGTGCTCACCTGGCATGCGGGGGGCACTGGGTCCAATCCTCAGCACCACATAAAAATAAAATAAAGATGTTGTGTCCACCAAAAACTGAAAAATAAATATTAAAAATTCTCTCTCTCCTCTCTCTCTTAAAAAAAAAAAAAAAGAAATGAAAAATATTAAAACCTACATACTTCCCTGTTAAATAATAAATCATAATGATAAATAAATGTGACATCTAGGCATTCTCTGAGTGCTTTATAATAATAATAATAATAACGAAAACAACTTCTCAAAATACACTTATTTATAGAGTAATGGGTCAAAATGAGCAAGTAGAAAACAAACCTTGTATACTCTTCCATATCCACCTTTTCCTAAGATGGCAATTTCTTCAAATTCATTCAAGTAACGTGAAGTTTGTGCTTCAAAGGCTATTTCCCTGGATCTAAAAGTTAAATACAAAAACATAATAAGTATTTTTGGTTTTATTTTTGGTACTGGGGATTGAACCCAGAGACACTTTACCATTTTCCCAGTGCTTTTCTTAAATTTGAGACAGGTTCTCACTAAGCAGCTGAGGCTGGTCTCCAACTTGCAACATTCTTGCCTCAGCCTACCAAATCATTAGGATTAAAAGTCTGCTCCCCTACAGTGGCCAAATATATAATCAATATTAAAACCTGAAACAATATGTTCTAGGACAGTTCATATTCACTGTATTATGTACAAATCTGCTGACTCATCTGTTTCTAAACTGCAATCATCTGTTACTAAACTGCAATCATCTATTACTAAACTGCAATATTTATAAAAATATGAACTAAAGTGGGGCTGGGGTTGTAGTTCAGTGGTAGAGCACTTGCCTAGCACATGTGAGGCACTGGGTTCAATCCTCAGCACCACATAAAATAAAAGTAAGTATCCATCTACAACTAAAATATATATATAAAATGAAGTAAAATTTTTCATTCTTTATAAAGAAAACATTGGCTAAGCAAATCAACAATGTACTGAAAATAGCAAAGGGGTCATTAAACTAATTTCAAGTCCCTTACCAGTTATAAATTACCACCAATGTTTTACAACAGAAATCCTAAGGAAGGTTACTGGACAGTAGTTGATTAGGTAAACTCAGTAACAAATTTATTTAGATTACGATGCAGACCAGACATAGATTTTAAATATTTTGTAAACAGATGTTCCCTAAAAGAGATGGGGTATCAGTAAGGTGAATTAACAGTGGGGCTTAACAGAATCCACACTCAATGGGGACAAGAGTTGGAAGAGGAAAGAAATGAGAAAGCAAGTCCTGGAGCAGGACTAAGCGCTAACAACACAGTCTTAAATTGTCTTTAACTATCCTAGTGCAATGGAGCATGCCTGTAATCCCAGCAGCCTAGGAAGCTGCAGCAGGAGGATGGAAAGTTCCAGGCTAGCCTCAGCAACTCAGTGAGGCCCTAGGCAACTTAGCAAGACTCTGTCTCAAAAAAAAAAAAAAAAGAGTTGGGGATGTGGCTCAATGGTTAAGCACCCCTGGGTTCAATTCCAGGTTCTAAAAAGAAAAATTCATAAACTACCCTAACAACATTATTTTTTAACTCTCAAATTAATACTGATTTCTTTTGAATAGTTTAGTCTGTGCGTAATCAAAGAAGTACTTAACACATACCTGATCTTCTGCATATAAGAATTATCCTCACAAGGATCCTGAAACAAAAAAAGTACTTTTAAAAAACCGTTTTGAAAAGTTTGAAATATGCAATCTTTCAAAATTCAATGTCATATTTATAGCCCCAAATACTCAAAACAATATTAAAAACAAAACCAAAAACAGCTTTTGGCGATGAGTGGGGATCAGAACACCAGAGATCAAATCCAATGATGCTTAACCACTGAGCCACATCCCCAGACCTTTTTTATTACTTTTTTTATTTTGAGACCAGGGTCTCAGTAAATTGCTTAGGATCTCAACTAAATTGCTGAGGCTGGCTTTAAACTTGTGTCAGCCTCCCAAGCAGCTAGAATTACAGACAAGTGCCACTGTGGCTGGGGAAAAAAAAAAAAAAAACAGCATTTTTAATATAACCTAAGAGTTTACAATTGAAAATATTTCAAAGTTGAGAATATATTTACCAAGGAGCTTCATGAGCCAATGCTGACTTTGTTTTCAAGAATATATAAAAACTTATCACTTCCCACATCTCCAATGCTACCAGCCCATTCCACATCACCTTTGCCTGTATGACTGTACCTGCTTCCCTGTTTCTGCCTTTGACCCCCATTGGCATATTCTCAATATAGTAGTGGTGTGAATAGTTTAAATGTACAATAAAATGTGTATCAGCTGGGCGAGGTGGCACAAGCCTATAATCCCAGCAGCTAGGGAGGCTGAGACAGTATTGCAAGTTCAAAGCCAGCCTCAACAAGATCCTGTCTAAATAAAATACAAAATAGGGCTGGGGCTGGGGCTCATTGGTTGAATGCCCCTGAGTTCAATTCCCAGTACCAAAAAAAATAAATAAAAAATAAAATGTAAATCACATTATGTCACTCCTATGCTCAAAAAATTGCAATGTGTCCCATCTTATTCTGAGTAAAAACCAAGCACATTAAAATGGTCTCAAAGGCTGGGGATGTGGCTCAAGCGGTAGCACGCTCGCCTGGCATGCGTGCAGCCCGGGTTTGATCCTCAGCACCACATACAAACAAAGATGTTGTGTCCGCCAAAAACTAAAAAATAAATATTAAAAATTCTCTCTCTCTCTCTCTCTCTCAAAAAATATATATAAATAAATAAATAGCACATGTGAGCCACTGGGTTCAATTCTCAACACCACATATAAATGAATAAAATAAAGGTCCATCAATAACTTAAAAAAATATTTTTTTAAAAAAAATGGTCTCAAGGTCCTACTTCATCTGTCCCCTCCACTCCTTTCTTTCCCTGAATTTAGGGGTTCCCTCTAAGTCTCCCCTTTGCTCACTCTACTCCAGCCATAGGGATGCCTTACAGTCCCTCACTTCCAGCCTCAGCACACTGCCACTTGCATACCCACCATGGGACCCTCCTACACTGTTCTTCTGCTTGGAATGATCTTCTTCTACATATCTGCATAGTTCATTCTCTCACCTTCAACTCTTGACTTTAACATTGTGTCAGTGAAGCCCTCCCTGGCCACCCTATGTGAAAGTTACACAGCCCCTCCCAACATCTCCAAAGCCCCTTCACTTCCTTATGTTTGTCTTTTATATTAACACCACCTAACACCTCATATATTTTTATATTTTTTCCTATTGTTTTCTGCCCTCTCATCCAAATATAATCTCCATGAGGGCAGGGATTTTGATCTATTTTGTTCAATGATTTTACCTCAGCACCTCAAAGAGTCTAACACATAATATTTCATAAATGTTGCTGAATAAGCAAAGTTTATATTTTAAAAAACCTGACATGTAATTAGAATTTCATAATGCTTTAAAATTTAGTTCTCTATTTTTTTCATACACAGAGCACACCCATTAGGGCTTACCTGGCGAACTCTCTCTTTGGCAGACCTCATTAAATGAGTAATAGCTCTGTTGTGATGTAGTCTCAATGAGCTAAACTCATCACTGCAGGTGAAAGAAGACAGCAGCCCCATTTTGATAAAGGTCTCACAAAGTACTATAAAAGAAGAACATGCAAAACGAAGATTTTGCATTAATAAAATGGCTTGAAGATTGATTCTCAAACAGGGGAGCAACAGGTACATTAACTGATCAAGAACACATTTGTAATTACTACCATCTTAAACTGTAGTCATTTGCTATTTTGTGTTGCCAAGTATGCTATGCTTACATGCCTAGTCATTGAAGTACTAAGTTCCATTAAAAAGGTGGGGGGGGGGCAGGGCAAGAAAAAAATGTAAAATCTTCACACATTACATTTTGTTGACAGGCAATAAGATAATAGAGATAGGAGAAAAAAAACATAAGGAGTAACAACAGAAGTGCGTATTAACTGTTTTTTTCTGTTACAGAACATCTTAAGCCAACATGCAAAGAGCACAGTAGATGTATATATAGTCCAAATACCAGGCTCTTCAGAAAAAGAAGTTTCTACAGAGATGCCCTGGCTTTTACTCATGAGAAATACAGATATCATAGAGGATATTCTGTTCACACTCTTGAGTGTTTTGAGTGAGATCAAGTAACTGAATCACAGCAAAAATATTTACTTAGGAACATTTATTCTATAGAATTGAGATGTTGTTTGATTCTAGAATCACAAAATTATTGTGGGGCAGATCGCTAAGAAAACATACCACATCCCAGTTTTGTCCAAATTTAAGAGTCTTTATCTAGTCAGCCAGCCAATGACTGGCCCCTGCAGGACCCATAACTGTCTCTGTAAGGAACAGCCCCGAGCCTGAACATTTTAGGATATTTATATATAAGACAAAAACCACATTCAGGTTGATCAGCTGCAAGCAAGCAGGTACAGAAGCTGAATTGGGCAGTTAGCGGGACAATGCGTTGGGTACACTGGTATTTCCCATGGGACTTCCCAGGTTGGCATAGCAGCAAGCAAGCAGAAAGGACATGGGTCAAAATGACCCTAGTTCAGTACAAGTTAGAGAATAGTTATGAACATCTAGACAATCTCTGACAAGGTATACTGCCCAAGAAAAATAGAAACCAAAGAGAACAATTTTACATAAGAAAATTGCTATAAGAATTGCTATTTTGGGGCTGTGATTAAGGCTCATTGGTAGAGAGCTTGCCTTACATACATGAGGCACTGGGTTCAATTCTCAGCACCACATATAAATATGAACAAAATATAGGTCCATCAACAACTTTAAAAAAAAGTGCTATTTTGTGTTGCCAAGCACGCTGTGCTAGGTAACTCTTAATGGGTACAGAGGCTTTCCCATGGGAGAAGCATTTCTTACATGATATGTAATCTTAGGGTAAAATGGAGTTTGTTTAGTCATTGCCCATATAGCCTGACCCATAACAAAAATAAAGCCAACTAGAATCTTCTCTAAAAAATTAGAGTTTTTAAAGTTCAATAATCTAAAAATGCTGTATATAAGGAATTCAAAATTATCTTAAAATTAGGCTGGGGGCGTAGCTCAGTGAACAAGGCCCTGGATTCAGTTCCCACAATCACCAAAAAGAACAGTAAGATCTACAAATCTGCTTTAACTATAAGCAATGTTACTGCAGCAACATTATTATAACTTAACTTTCTATACCATGAATCTAATGCAATAAACCCTAGGTACCAGGGTTCTGGAACCTAAGAATCACCTCTTATGCCCCCCACATATGCCATTGCTTAGGATGTACAGTATAAGATTTGCTTTTATTGAGAAAATAATGAATGTACACTATACAAATATTTTTACTACTTTTTATGTCCCATCAAGCTTACAAAAATGAGAACATCTTTAACTAAAATATATTAAGTTCTAAGACCACATAAATGTGTAAGTTTGAGAATTTCTAACACCAAACAAGACCTGGGAAGACCTTTTTAGTAGAAAAGAACCTCAGAATCTATGACTGGAGATATTAAAGCAGCTACAATGGTCTCAAGTCAATAAACAACAAGCTGGGCGTGGTAGCCCATGCCTATAACACATGCCTATAATTTCAGCTGCCCTAGAGGCTGAGGCAGGAACAGTGAAAGTTTGAGACCAGTATAGGCATTTTAATAAGACCCTATCTCAAAATGAAAATTAAAAACAGCTAGGGATGTAACTTACTGGTAGACCACCTCTGTGTTCAATCCCCAGTACTGAAAAATGGAAAAAAAGTGCTGAACCAGAAACATCATCTATAATTCTATTCACTTTTTGGCTCAAGTTTCTCATACTAATACCCTATGGTAGGAATAAAAATCATTTTCAACAACACAATATGCAGCTATTCTAGTTCTCTGGTCTGGTCAAGAACTGGTTCAGAATGCATACATGTGATTTTCTTTTAGCTGCATGTCAACCAAATCAAAACAGATCTTCAAAAATCATATGAATATCACATTATACTACAGATATCAAAGAATGCTCTTTTAGCTGAGAGCAGTGGCACACTCTTATTTCCAGCACCTCGGAAGGCTGAGGCAGGAGGATCAAAAATTTGAGGCCAGCCTCAGCCACTTAGTGAGACCCCATCTAAAAATTTAAAAAATCAAAAGGGCTGAGGAGGTAGCTCAGTTTTAAAGCACCCCTGGGTTCAAGCCCCAGTACTCAAAAAAAAAAAAAAAGTCTTTTATTTATGCAATTACATGCAATTTCGGGGCCCCAGTAGTTACCCAAAGAAAATATGAATTTAAGAGATGTAAATTATTCACACTTAATATTGACCCAATTTTATACACCAGCTGTTTCTTGGACCCACATTAAACAATATAGTGTTTTCATAAGCTTTACTTAGCAAGATCAAGTTATTTTTACTTACATTTAAACACCTGTTTTGATCGAGGTACGTTTGGTTCATGCACATGACTCAAGTGTTCCAGCAAAGAAACAAGCAGTAGCTGGTTTGCAACTGCAAAAGGGAAAGTTGGCTGTTGTAGGGGTTCTTTTAACACCTGGAGTTCTGCTGGCACATCAGATTCTAAAAATTTTAAAGGAAAAAACTATTGGTAAACATGTCTCAAAATGAAAAAAAACAGCATACTCCAATTAATGAAATACAAATTATTTAACTGAAGAGAAATAAAAAACAAAAGAGTAGTCGTGCTAAGTTGGGTTAAGAAAAGCAGGCTTTGTATAAGAAGGAGGACCAGTAGGAAGATGTCATGAGGCAGATGGGAAATAGTTTTGGTAGCAATGATATGTACAATGGAAGGAAAAAAACAAAATGATTTTAAAGCAAATAAGCAAGCAAGTATAGAATAGGATGGCCTCCATCCTCTGGGGAGCAGGCATAAAGAAAGAAGGCTGACAAAGGAGAGAAGGAAAGAAGGATGGAAACTACTGTGAACACATGATTGCATATGTACAGGTGTTGTGCGTGCGTAATCTCTTCTTTTTTTGGTACTGGAAATTGAACCCAGGGGCACTTAACCACTGAGCCATATCCTCAGTCCTTTTTTATATTTTATGCAGAGACAAGGTCCCACTGATTCGCTTAGGGCCTTGCTAAATTGCTGAGGCTGGCTTTGAACTCGCAAACTTCCTGCCTTAGCCTTCCAAGTTGTGCGCCACTGCACCCAGCTTCTTCTAATTCTTAAAAAACAATATAAAGTGTTATCATCACCTTTTTTACAGACATTTTTTACAGATGAGGACACTGATCTAAGAGATTAAGGACTAGCAAATCAGGCAGGTTAGCCTGACTCCCAAGTTCACCCTCTCACCACTATGCAAGATCAAACAGACAGATGAGCTGGCACTTCAGTAGAAGGTCATACGTTCTCACTAATGGTTTATTTAATAAATTGTTGAACAGGTAAAAAACATAATAAAGGAAAAATACTTGAAGACACCATGATGGTGGTCTGGAAGGAGGCAGGAAGTAAACAAGGGAAGATGTGGATAAACTGAGTAAAGGAGGTAAGTTACAGAACCATTGAGAGCAGGATTTAAAACACTAGGAATGGGGAGAAAGAGGTATTAATGAGTGTGAAAACTTGTAAGAGGAGCTGTCAGAGGAAAGATGAGACACATCAATTCTCAACAGTTGTGGATGCATTCAATTGGAAATATCCTGCAGGCAGGTGACTATGTATCTTCTATACCTTCAAAAACTGGCACACACCTGTAATCCCAGTGACTTTGGGGGCTGAAGCAGAAGTATTGCGAGTTCAAAGCCAGCCCCAGCAACTTAGCAAGGCCCTAAGCAAATCAGAGAGACCCTGTCTCTACATAAAATATAAAACAGGGCTGGGGATGTGGCTCAGAGGTTAAGCGCCCCGGGTTCAATCCCTGGAACCAAAAAAAAATTAAATAAATAAATAAAATTGGCCCATTTCAAATATTCTGTTCCACTCTCCTGTATCAACCACTAAATGTCCTGGAAGAGCAGACATTTTCAAATCCAGTCTTTATTTATCAATTTCTTCTCTGATCTGTAGGTAGGGGGGGGGGGACACACCTGCATGACCTTCTTGTAGCAGATGTGCTATTCATTTTAAATAAATACTTAGTTGTTTGAGTATGGGAAAGAAAAAAAATGAAAAATGTGGCCACGCAAAAACTTCCTTATGTGAAGACATCTTTAAAAAAAAAAAAAAGCAAGAAACACTGTTGTATATCTTTATTTATTTATTTTCAGTGTCAGGGATGAAACCCAAGCCTTCATGAATGCCAAGCAGACACACTACCACTCAGCCACATCCCCAACCCATATAAAGACATCTTAAAATACAAATCACAAATTCAGACACAGTACTTATGTCTGTATTATGCATGACAAGAAAAGGAAATAAAACTTACATAGACGTCTCACAAGCTAATAAAAAGCACAATTAAAATTCTAACAGGTTTAATGTAACTGATAATTAATGACATACATATTAAAATATCTAAGACACTAGAGTCTGTTCATCACATTGGTAACTATTTAAAGCCTGAAATACTTGGTATTGCCAAGGGCACAGAAAAAGCAAGCATGGCTGGGTGTAGTGGCAAATGCCTGTAATCCTAGCCACTGTGGGGCCTGAGGCAAAAAAAAATCACAAGTTTGAGGCCAAGCCTGGGCAACTTACCAAGACACTGTTTCAAAATAAAATAAAAAGGGATAGGGAAGAGTTAGCTCAGTGGTGGAGTGCCTGCATAGCATGAGCAAGGCCCTACATTCAATCTCCAGGGCAAAAAAAGAGGAGGAAAGAAAAGCAGGTATGTTCAAACACAAGAGATACGAAAGTGTTTACAACATTTGACAATACAACTGTAGAACTTGAAAAGTGCAAACCTTTGATCTATCAAAGCACAACAAATATGCATACAAGACATTCAGTAAGATACTGTTTAGAATACTGAAAAATTTTTAAAAGTTAAATATATACAAACAACACTACTATGCAGCAGTTAGAAATGGTAGTGTATAGAAAGATAATCATAAAGTTTATTATCAAGTCAGAGAAGCAAGCTATAAAACAATTAATACTAAGAAAAAACAATTAATACTAATGAAGGTAATATGAGACAGTTTTATATGTGGGAGTATATGCCAACATAACCTTCCCTATCATCACTGTATCAAAAATCTTAAACATACAAAAAAGTAGATTGGCAGCCATTATGAAGTCAAACAACAATAAGTGCTGGCGAGGATGTGGGGAAAAGGCTACACTTGTACATTGCTGGTGGGACTGCAAATTGGTGCGGCCAATTTGGAAAGCAGTATGGAGATTCCTGGGAAAGCTGGGAATGGAACCACCATTTGACCCAGCTATCGCCCTTCTCGGACTATTCCCTGAGGACCTTAAAAGAGCGTACTATAGGGATACTGCCACATCAATGATCATAGGAGCACAATTCACAATAGCTAGACTGTGGAACCAACCTAGATGCCCTTCAATAGATGAATGGATAAAAAAAAGTGGCATTTATACACAATGGAGTATTATGCAGCACTAAAAATGACAAAATCAGGGAATTTGCAGGGAAATGGATGGCATTAGAGCAGATTTTGCTAAGTGAAGCTAGCCAATCCTTAAAAAACAAATGCCAAATGTCTTCTTAGATATAAGGAGAGCAACTAAGAACAGAGCAGGGAGGAAGAGCATGAGGAAAAGATTAACATTAAACAGAGACAAGAGGTGGGAGGGAAAGGGAGAGAGAAGGGAAATTATATGGAAATGGAAGGAGACCCTCATTGTTACACAAAATTACATATAAGAGGTTGTGAGGGGAAAGGGAGGGGAAAAAAACAAGGGAGAGAATTTAACAACAGTAGATGGGGTAGAGAGAGAAGATGGGAGGGGAGGGGAGGGGAAATAGTAGGGGATAGGAAAGGTAGCAGAATACAACTGTCACTAATATGGCATTATGTAAAAATGTGGATGTGTAACTGATGTGATTCTGCAATTTGTATTTGGGGTAAAAATGGGAGTTCATAACCCACTTGAATCAAATGTATGAAAGATGAGCTTTGTAATGTTTTGAACAACCAATAAAAATAAAACATACAGGGCTGGGGATGTGGCTCAAGCGGTAGCGCTCTCGCCTGGCATGCGTGTGGCCCGGGTTCGATCCTCAGCACCACATACAAAGATGTTGTGTCCCCCGAAAACTAAAAAATAAATATAAAAAAAAAACATACAAAAAAGTAAAAAGAAAAAAGGGGAAAAAACTAACCACGTTACTTCTTTGATCCAACAATCCTACTTCTATGGATTTATTCATGGATTTATTCTGAAGAAATAATCAGACAGTACAAATATATGACAACAAATCCCACCACTATGTATGACTATAACACATCAATAAAAAATAAATTTTAAGGGCTGGGGATATAGCTCTGTTGGTAGACTGCTTGCCTCACATGCACAAGGCCCTGGGTTCAATCCTCAGCACCACAAAATAATAATAATATTAATAATAATAATAATTTTTAAAAGAATAATAATGACAAAGATTTATGTATGTATATAGGTACATAGAGTATGTATGTATATAAGCATCCAACAGTATTATTTCTATCATTTTTTATACATTATTTCTAACGATAAAAAAGACAAATCTTTTTCAACAATAGAGCACAAAACTAAATTAACAATAGTATGAATGTAAAAAAAAAAATAAAAAAAAAAAAAAAAAAAAAAAATAGTATGAATGTTACACAGTCTTATTTGTAAAAGAGCAAAAATAAATGATACTACAAATGGCATACCATCTAGTTTTGTTTCATTAACAGTATTGGTGATTGAACCCAGGGTCTCACACAGGGTCTCTACCACTGAGCTACACCTCCAACCCTTTTTATCTTTTATTTTAAGACAAGGTCTTACCATATTAGTAGGGTTGACCTCAAAGATGCAATCCCCCTGTCTCAGTCTCCCAAGTGGTAGAGACTGCAAGGCACACACCACCATGCCTCCTTGATCAAAAATCTAAAATGCATTTACTTTATAGTTAAATAAATACACAAAAATTTTGAAAGCTGGAAAGAACAAAACAGACTAAATTTCTGTCCCCTTGTTTTTAATGATATAGCTACAGATTTTGTAAAAGAAATTAAATTATATTATAATGTTGTTTTATAGTCTGACTGTTCCAAATATATAATATAGTATGAAGGACAGTGACTGGCATACAGCTCTCAATAAATACCTGCAAATAAATATATCAAATTGTTTCTCTTTCTTCCTTTTATTTATTTATTTAGTTAGTTATTTGTTTGTTTTCTTTATTTCTCTTTTTTTTTTTTTTCCAGAGCTAGAGATCAAAACCTGGGCTTCTCCCATGCCAAGCAAAAGTTCTACCACTAAGCTATACTCCCAGCCCAAAACATCAAATTGTTCACAGTGAGTATTCCTCTGGAATGTGAGTATAGGCAATTACCCTCCCCAACCCCTTTTTTTCCTTTATACTTTTAAATCTTTGTGAATATATTTCAACAAAATTAGATGGAAATCATCAATCCATTCCTGTTACCTTTCTTGGACAAACATTTTAAAATGTGAAATCATTAATAAAAAACTGTCTTTAGCTACACCAAAATGTAAACCATAGCCTCTGGATGATGAGATTATGGTTTTTAAATCTTCATGCCTTTCTATATTCTAAACATTCTGTTAATGTAAAAACTTCTCCCTGACCCCCATACTGGGGATTGAATCCAGGGGCACTTTACCCTTGAGCTACATTCCCAGGCCTTTTTAATTTTTTATTTTGAGAGAGGATCTCACAGAGTTGCCAAAACTGGCTTCAAACTTTTGAGCCTCCTGCCTCTGCCTCCTGAGTACCTGAAATTACAGTGCTGTGCCACCATGCCTGGTAAAATTTTTAAAAATATGTACGCTTAAGGGGATTGAACTCAGGGGCACCTCAACATTGAGCCACATCTCCAGCCCTATTTTGTATTTTATCTAGAGACAGGGTCTCACGGAGTTGCTTAGCACTCACTTTTGCTGAGTCTAGCTTAGGACTCATGATCCTCCTGCCTCAGCCTCCAGAGCCACTGGGATTACAGGATAGCACCACCACGCTGGGCTGGTACACTTAACCATTAAAGTGGTAAGATTGTGGATAGGAGGGCTGTCTCCTTCTTTATACTCTTAGTTTTTCCCATTTTATACAATGAGAAAATTCTATCTTATTTACTTATCTACCTTTTTAACATCTGGGGATCAAACCCAGAGATATGAGTATGCCAGGCAAGCAGTCTGACAATGAGCTATATCCCCAGCCCAGAAATTCTACTTTTTAATATAAAGAAATAAAGGAGAAAAGTTGGTCATTTTTCAAATGAGCTTTTAATAATTCAAGAAAATGGACAACATTTAAAAGACCAGAGGAAAGATATTCAAATGAGTAAAATAGAAAAGAAAGGCTGAAGCTGAAAGATTCCCATTTCACAGTACTGGTCATGAGTAGAAGAGAAAAAGGAAAATAGCAAAGAGGTAAAGTTCTCATAAAATGGTAAGAAATAAGACACAGATACTAGGGCTGGGGTTGTGGCTCAGCGGTGGAGTGCTCGCCTCACACATGGGAGAACCCTGGGTTTGATCCTCAGCACCACATACAAAAATAAACAAGTGAAATAAAGGTGTTGTGTCCAACTACAACAAAAAAATAAAATTAATAAAATTTTAAAAATAAAAAGATAGACACTAGATGAATTCAAGATCTAAACTTCTGCCAAGCAGGATGGGAGTATACAAACAGGAAAGGGATCATCTAATTTAATCTCCCCAGAAGAGGAAGACAAGCCCAGAAGATAAACCTGTAATAACTTTTTCTTTTTTCAGTTGTAGATGGAAACAATATCTTTATTTTATTTATTTATTTTTATGCAGTGCTGAGAATTGAACACAGTGACTCACACATGCTAGGCAAGCACTCCACCATTGAGCTACAATCCCAGCCTCCCTGAAATAATATTTTTTAAAAACTGTCAGATGAAGAGAATGAATGAAACCATGGGCTTACTGCTGGCCCTCTTTATTGAACCCAGGTCCTCCTGCATGCCAGGCAAGTGCTCTACCACTAAGATATATCCCCAACTCTTTTCATTTTATTTTTGGGACAAGGTCTTGCTAAGTTACCCAAGCTGACCTCAAACTTGTGATCCTTCTGCTTGAGCATCTTGAGTAACTGGGATTACAGATGTGTGCCACTGTGCCTTGCTCCTGGTATTCCTTATGCTCACAAAAAGAAAACCTACAGTAATTTTATCAAAGGCAGATGTTGGGGGGCTGGGGATGTGGCTCAAGCGGTAGCGCGGTAGCGCGCTCGCCTGGCATGCGTGCGGCCCGGGTTCGATCCTCAGCACCACATACAAACAAAGATGTTGTGTCTCCCGAAAATTAAAAAAAAAAAAAAATATTAAAAAAAAAAAAAAAACAAAGGCAGATGTTGGTTTTAAAAGAGTTCCTACAATTAACTGCTAAAGTTATACCTAGATTTTGAATTTTCTGACTCAATCATTAACTGGAAGTGACCTCTTCAAATCCTACTAGAGCATTTGGGAAGTCATTCTGTTTTACATCTACTGAAAATGAAATTACATTCTTCACAGGCCTCACTTTTCATATAAAAAACAAACTGCATCTAGACAGTCTAGGCCTCTTGAGACAAACAAGATCTTGCTAAGCTACCCAAGCTGGCCTCAAACTTGTGATCCTTGGGCTGGAGATGTGGCTCAGTGGTAGTGCGCTCGCCTGGCATGCGTGCGGCCCGGGTTCGATCCTCAGCACCACATACCAACAAAGATGTTGTGTCCGCCGATAACTAAAAAATAAAATATTAAAATTCTCTCTCTCTCTCTCCCTCTCTCTTTAAAAAAAAAAAAAAAAAACCAAATTTGTGATCCTTCTGCCAGAGCATCTTGAGTAATTGGGATTACAGATGTGTGCCACTGTGCCTAGCTCCTGGTATTCCCTATGCTCACAAATAGAAAACCTACAGTAATTTTATCAAAGGCAGATGTTGGTTTTAAAGAGCACAAGAGAGAAGAAAAATTTTTAAAGTTTATCTAAGATCACTCCCTTCAAAAGTAATCTTTGGTTTGCAGAAACGCTTATCACAGAAAGAAACTTGCATGTTTACAGCTGGGGCTTACCCTATGACATAACATGTTCCACAGTATTGAGCTGCTGTTAATATACCACCTAAAGTGAGGGGGGAAAAAAATCTATGTATCTATTAAAAAACTGTTATCTTACAAATTTCCTCTGTAAAACTCTACCTAAATTACCACCACAGTCTGCTTTTTTTTTTTTTTCCATTGTGGTAAAGCATTACAGGCAGTATTAGGAATGAAAATCCAAGGACTTTTCCAAAACCTTTTCAACTCAATTTGCACTTTTAAATCCACTGCAACAAAGTAATATTTATTCCATGCTTCAACTGAATGTGTATTCTCTGTAGTCATTTTATTAGGAATACTGTATAGTTAAAACTTCTTTGAGTCCTTGTCCGTTTTGGTGCTGGGGATTGAACTCAGGGTCTCATTTATGCTTAAACACCAGCTGTATCACTGAAGCTTTCAGCCCCAGCTCCAATGTTTTCATTCTTGATACCACATTTAATTTTTAAAATTGTTCAAAAAAACTGGCAGCAACTAACAACCCTGCCAGTGCAATTAACAACCCTGCATTTTCAGTAAAATAGTAGAGTCCTTGTTTTAGGACCTCTCACTTTATGCTAGTTGACTTAAGTAACGACCATCTAATAACCAAAAGCCTCAAGAAAACAGGCATCTCCACTGCCTCACTGTGAGAAATCATCATTCTGTTAGTGATACAAAACTACAAGCTACAAATTGCGTCTCCTAGCCCAAACTGTTCTGCATATAGAGCCTGCAGAACAAAGATCATTCTCAACGACTGACCAAACCACACAGCGAAAGAGCTGGAAAGTGGCCACCTGAAAGTCCTGAGCCATCCAACGGCCTCAGTCCGCAAAAAGGAAACCAAGGAGCAGAAATGTAAACAAACAAGCAGATCGGAGAAGCTTCTTCAATAAATATTTACCTTACCCTGACTGCCCGCACGCCACCCCGGGTGCAGCCCGGAGGCAGCTGAACTAACCCAGGTACTGAAACGACCACTGCCGACGCCGAACTGCACTGAACCGCGGATGGTCAGGGGTCAGCCAGACGGCGCGCGGCAGCGGGTTCACTCACCATCATACTTGGGATCCGAGCCCTCGGCCGGAAAGTCGATAGCGGGCGGCGAGGCTATAGCTCCCGCCCGGGCGCCCTCGGCTTTGTCCTCCCGAGCACCAGAGCCGCCCCCCAGCATCTCCAGCCGCGCGCGGGCCTCAGCCCCGCCCGCAGGCTTGCCCAAAGCCACTTAAGCTCGCCACGAGCAGCGATCAACGCCGACCCGGAAGTAGCGCCTCGCTGGGCGGAAGTCCCGCCCCTGCCTCCCTGGCACCGCCGGAGGGGCGGACTCAGTGCAGACTCCGCCCCCTCCCATGTCCTGGCGAGTGCTCCCAATAGGCTATCCTAGGGCCTCGCTGGTTCTGGGTGCATGGTTGCACTGGGTGTGTGGGTGTGCTGCTGCCAGTCTTCCCTACCGGAAGTCTTGAGTCTGTGCAGACGAGTTTTAACCCATCTCACCCCAAGAGTCAGGCGTCAGTGTAAAAATTATTTGTCTGAAAGACTAATTAGAAATATTTAATTTTTGTGGGTACAATGCTGAATTTTTGGGGGGTGGACACAATATCCTTATATTTATGAGGTGCTGAGGATCAAACCCAGTGCCTTATGCGTGCTAGGCGAGCACTCTACCATTGAGCCACAACCCCAGCCCCCTGGATTTATTTTTGTAAACCGTTAGGCCACAATAAAATAGGAAGTGCCAACTTGATCCCAGAGTGAATTTAACCTTACAGAAATAACGCTGGTTTGGGGACTGCATTTACAACTGAAATGTTTTCAAACCTGAATACTTCTTCCCATGTGACCTCCAGGCCACCCTGGATCTACTGTTTTGAAACCTTCAGGTTCAAAATCCATCATCCCCCATCTGCAGCTGACCCTGGTGACTCAGTCTCTAACACAATGCTTTTGAAAAGAATCCATAAGGAGATCTTGGATTACTCCTTGGATTAGATAAATACAGTTGTGATAGTCTTTACAACTTGAGACCTTGAACTCAATGCGATGTAGAAAACTGGTAATGTTGAATTTTTTTATTTGAACAATACATTCCATATAGAGTCATACTGGATGTGTTTAGGCTGATCAAGACAGTTAAGGATACAGTTCTCTAAAACTTCCCATGCCTTGCTAATGTTCTGGGAGAATACAGCCTTTTTGGAGAGTGCTTTAACTATATGTAGCCACAGTTTAAGAAAGCAAATACCCCTGTAATCCCAAGGACTCAGAAGGCTGAGGCAGGGGGATCTCAAATTTGAGGCCAGGCTCAGCAATTTAGGGAGACCCTGTCTCAAATAAAAAGGACTAAGTATGTGGCTGCATGGTAAAGCTCCCCTGGGTTCAATCTCTGGTACCAAAACATTTTAATTAATCACTTTAAGAAAAAAATATCTTTGACTCAACAGTTACACTTTCAACCCGGAGACAGTTCCGAATGTTTGCAGTCCGAGCAAGAAAGACTGAGACAGGAAGATGCCAAACTCAGCAAGTTAGCAAGACCCTCAGCAATTTAGCAAGGGAATGCGGCTCAGTGGTAGAGTGCCACTGGGTTCAATCCCTTGTATCAAAAAGAAAAAAAACAAAAAACCAGGTACACTTTTAGGAATTTGTTCTAAGTAAAAGGTTAAGAATGAAGAAAAAAAGAGAGAGAGAGAGCGAGCTGGGCATGGTGGTGCACATCTGTAATCACAGCCACTCTAGAGGCTGAGGCAGGAGGGTCACAATGCAAAATCAGCCTCAGCAATTTAACAAGGCCCCAGAGAACTTTGGGAGACCCTGTATTGAAAATGATGATGATGATGATGATGATGATGATGATGATGATAAAAGCCTGGGGATGTGGCTCAGTGGTAAAGTGCCCTGGGTTTGATTCTCAGTACCAAAAAAATTTTTGTAATCCCAGCAACTCAGAAGGCTGAGGTAGGAAGTTCGAAAGTTCAAAGCCAGCCCCAGGAAAAAGGAGGCACTAAGCAACTCAGTGAGACCCTGTCTGTAAATAAAAATACAAAATGGGTTGGTGATGTGGCTCAATGGTCAAGTTCAATCACTTGTTTACTCCCACAAAAAAAGTTACTGGGTGATTTCCAACTCTGGGGCCCCTTTTTTTCAGAAAAGTCTCTGTATCTCTGTTGCCTTTGCAATAAAACTACTTTAAAAGAGAGAGAGAGAGAGAGAGAGAGAGAGAGAGAGAGAGAGAGAGAGAGTTATTGGAGAGAGTGTGTTATTGGGCCAGGTGCACTAGCACACACCTGTAATCCCAGCAACTCAGGGAGCTGAGGCAAGAGGATACCAAGTTCGAAGCCAGCCTCAGCAATTTAGCAAGACTGTCTCAAAATAAAAAAAAATAAAAAGTATTGGGGGACACTGGGTTTGTGGCTCAGAGGTAGAGCGCTCACCTAGCATGCGTGAGGCACTGGGTTTGATCCTCAGCGCCACATAAAAAATAAAGTAAAATAAAGATATTTTTCCACCTATAACTAAAAAATAAATATTGAAAAAAATAAAAAGGATTGGGATATAGAGTTCAGTAATTAAGCAATAAAAAGTAAAAAGGACTGGGAATGTAGCGCCCAATGTTCAAAACTCAGTGCAAAGATGCAAAAGTTTTGGGGACTAGTGATGTAACTCAGTGGTTGAGTGCTTGCCTAGCATGTGCAAGGCCCAGGTTTTAATCCTCAGTGGGGGTAGGGATTTGAGATCCTCTAGGGAGCTGAGGTAGGAGGATTGAAATTCAGGGCCAACAAGTCCCTGTCTCAATCTACAAATGAAGGGAATATAATTCAGTGATAGAGCACCCCTGGGTTCAATAACTTGTATCATAAATAAATAAATAAATTTATAGGGGCTGAGAATATAACTCAGTGGTAGAGCACTTGCCTTAAGCATGTACAAGGCCCTGGGTTTGGTCCCCAGCACTGCAAAATAAGAATGAAAAACTTAATCATAACACTGGTTATAATACTAAAGATAATATGTTTGGCTAACTAACTTAGGAACACACTCTATATGCATTAAAAATATCAGTAAGGAGCCTGGTGTGTAGCTCAGTGGTAGCTCTGTGTAAAGTTCTGTGTTCCATCCCCAGCATTGTAGCACAACAACAAAAATATTGTTTGTGTCCCTCTTATTTTAAATTCTGAAAAAAAACCACAAAACTGTTTATGTGCAATATCTGGTTCTCACTGCTTTTCTGCCATCACTGGAAATGCCTAGTAATATTGATGTTAGGGGGAAAAAGCAACTCTTTCAGGTGGCTATATATAAATGGAGTAAACTAGAAGACACCCTATAATTTATACTAAAAACTGTTATTTGTTGTTTGTTTGTTTATTCATTCATTTATTTGGGGGCACTGGGGATTGAACCCAGGAGCATTCTACCACTGAGCCACACATCCCCAGCTCTTTTTTGAGACAGGGTCTTGCTAAGTTGCCCAGGCTAACCTTGAACTTGAGATCTTTCTCTCTCAGCCTTGCAATTCCCTGGAATTACAGGCATGCATCACCATGCTGGGACTTGAAAAGTTTTAAATAGATTTCCTTGCATGGCATAGTATTGCAGGCCTATAATCCCAGAGGCTAAGGAGACTGAGGCAGGAGGATTACCAGTTCCAGGCCAGCCTCAGCAATTTTAGCAAGGCTCTAAGCAACTTAGTGAGACCCTGTCTTAAAATAAAATTTAAAAGGCTGGGGAATATAGCTCAGTGGTAAGGCACCTCTGGGCTCCCCAGTATTATTACCACTATTACTACTACTACTACTACTACTACTAATAATAATAATAATAATGGAATATTATTATTTTCCCTTTCACCTATATATAGGAGCATATCCAAAGTAAATAATCAAGTTGGGCACAATGGCACAGACTCTAATCTCAAGGATTTGGGAGATTGAGGCAGGAAGATCACAAGTTTATCCAAATCCTATCTCAAAATAAAAAATAGAAAAAGACTAGGGGTGTAACTCAGTGATAAAGTGCCCCTGGTTTCCATCCACAATAAGAAATAAAATAAAAAATCAGAGTATCATATAAAAATAAATCTGTAAATTCATCTGCCAGGCCTGGTAGGGCACACCCAGCAACTGCAGAGACTGAGGCAGAAAGATCACAAGTTCAAGGCCAGCTTTGACAATTTGGTGAGACACTCAGCAACTTAGTGAGACCTCGACTCAAAATAAAAAAATGGAAAGGACTGGGGATGTAACTCAGTGGTAAAGTGCCTCTGGATTCAATCCACAGTACCAATGTGGGAGGTAGGGGAGAAGAGCAATGAAATAAAGCCAAATTGCAAATAGAAGAGTAATTGCCATATATCTATGCTGTGAAACTTTATGTGGTCATTAGAAAACTTGAAAAGGAAGCACGTTCTTCTCTTGCCTTCCATGACATCATATTCTTCTGGTTTTCCTCTTTTTTACTGGTCCTTCATTCGGGATCCCTTACTAAAATCTCCTTTTCCAAATGTGTAATTCTGTAGGACTCTTGTTATCTCTGTCCAAGAGATAACCAGGGGCTTTACTAAGAATACCACCTATAAGCTAACAACCCTCAAATGTATGTCTGCATCACAGATGTATCCTCTTGGATGCCTCAAGAGTATCTCAAATTCTTAAAAAGTTTTTTTTTTTTTTTTTTTTTAAGCGGGGATTGAACTCAGGGGCATTTAACCACTGAGCCACATCCTGGTTCTTTTCATTTTTTATTTTGAGACAGGGTCTCACTAAGTTGCCGAGGCTGGCTTTGAGCTTCAGTTCTCCTGCCTAAGCTTCCAGAGTTGCTGGGATTACAGGTGTGTACCACCATGCTCCGCTATAAAAAGATTCTTTATTTTCCTTCTAAAAATTGTTTTTCATTATCCTTCTTCATCCAAGTAAATTGCATATAATCCATCCATTTTTCCAAGCCTAAAAACTGGCAGCCAATCTTTATACTATATCCAGAAATATTTGGCTGTCTACAAATTAATTTGTTAAAAAAAAAAAGAAAGAAAGAAATATAAGAAGCTGAGGAATGAGGCTCAGTAGTAAGAGTGTTAACCTGGCATGCATGAAGCTTTGGGTTTCTCTCCCCAGCATCAAAAAAAAAAAAAAAAAAAAGAAAGAAAGAAAGAAAGAAAAAGAAGGAAAGAAAGAAGGAAAAAGAAACATAATATAGCATAGAAATCTGCAATATTAAACATAAAGGTAACTGAAGAGGAACCCCAAATAGCCAGTAAACATAGCAAAAGATGCATAAATTTCACTAG